TCAGAACACACAATAAGGAACAGACATCTCCAATATCTGACGTCTCAAAGGGGCTTATGACAGAGATTGAGGCCAGCTACTTCAAGACTAAGGTCCTTATCGTATTCCTTAATCACAGGCATCTATGATCTATCATGGTAAATAGTAGGGAAGCTGTATTTATTTGAAGGGTGAGAAAGGTGGAAGATGAAAGGATTGTCTTTAAATTGTTGCCTAGCCTAGTTAGGCTCTTTAAATGGAAAACTGAGACTTTTCCAAGTAGCTAAGCAAAGATTGGGAGTAGGGAAATGGTGATAGGTTGGTATGGAAAGGTGGTCAAGAATTGAACCAGTAGCCCCAACGCTGTTAATATCGAAGAGAGTTATAAGAACTATTTCCATCACCTGACTGTCAGTTTATCCTGCTGTGGAGGCTTTAGATGTTGCTATGATACTGGGAAGTTCTGTCACCATTATTTCCAGGATCAGCAGTCGCTCCTGGTGAACAGTTTTCAGTGCAGCTTCCAGCCTAGGAAGAAGGACCTATCCATCTACTGCCACAAATTGGCCAGTGGAAATCATATGGATGATAACCGAACGTTGTCTGATTTGCTTGGCATCCAAGGACATTGTTTGACTTGTTTTGAACACAAGATCGTATTTGCTGGACAAATTGGTGACATAGAGGCTAAGCCAAGGTGAGACCTTCATGTCTGGCAGAATAGCTGAAACAGTGAACTTGAACATACTGGCAGTTGTGAGGATGATACCGAATCAGGCAATGTTTCATCCCACTGTACATACAGTTGCCATGAGTCAGAGTCAACTTTATGGTAGTTAACAATAACAGGAAGGAGTAGTAATTTTCCTCTGACTTTCTATCATTGCTTCTCACTGCCTCTCTGTTTCCATCTCCTCTTACTCTTGAGTGGTTTAGTCTTTCCTTCTCCCTCACATCTCCGACTTATTCTCACATTTGATACTCTCTTACACGCAGTTTGTGCATGGGCTCTACATCCCCTCTAGCCTTTAACAACCACCATCATTATTAGCAGTTTCACTTTTTAAAAAAAAATCTGAATATACCGCTCAGATTCGTGAGAGAAGTTATTTGTTTGATATAGCATGCCCTCTGATATTGGCAAAGCCATGGCTTTTAGTAGTCAAACGAAGTTAGTGAGGGAAGGTCAGGTTTGATGCCTAGAGAAACAAGTTTGCTTCATTCAGAGGGTCTGTGGGCAAGAGAGCCCTGGGAAGAGGTCTGGGAAGGGGAGGGGGGGGCGGGGACTTGTTCTGTGGCACTGCCCATTTTGTTTGTTTTCTTAAGGGAAGTCATCTCTCCTCTAAGTGGAGTGAGACACAGCATGACCATCAGGTAGAGTCAAACGCATGTGCTTTATTTTTCTCTTCTCTTTTCACACAGAGAAGGCAGTTTGGTAGGAATATTTCACAACAACATCCCTAATTAAGAATCATTAAAGGTAATCAATTCAACTAACAAAACTTTATTTAAACCAGGCCATGAACAAATACTTTGTATTTGAGAGCTATCTTTAGCTATTTTAATTCAATGTTAAAAAATGTCTATTTAAAGAACCGCTTCTATCAACACATGCATGGCTGTTGTTAAGAACCCTCAAGTCAATTTTGACACCTAGTGACCTCACGTTACAAAGTGGAACTTCCCTATACAGTTTTCCAGGTGTAATTTTCCCCTTTAGCAGATATGCTGGGTAAGTTCATTCATACCACCAACTTTTACTAAGCAGTTGATCCCTTCACTATTGTACACAGGCTTTACATGACATAAATATAAGAAAGAGAATTTGGGTATCTTTTGTTTAAGGCCTAATCAGCAAGCAATTCTCCTTCTGTTGTCAGTGATTTACTCCCTATTGAAAGACCCCTCTCTCCCTTCCCAGGCCCCCTGGGTATTGTAAAAACAAGATGTTCAAAGGCATTTATATGCTCTGACATCTGATTGGAGGCTGCATGTGTGCTCATCTGCATGTCTCCAGGTACTGGGAGTGGAGAATGGAGAGATATTTGAGAAAGTTTATGGAGACAACAAGAGTAAGCCACAGCCTCCCATATCTCAGCTATTTTCTCCTTTCAGTATTGTTGGTTCAGGGGGGAAAATTTAAAAAGACCACACTCCTCACTCAATCCCCCCACACTTGTAATGAACAACACTGTTTTCAGTTTTTATTTGCTGATCAATAAACCCAAGGGTAGGTCTTGTCTGTTCCCAGAGATAAAGAACTGCATGCAGAACTGCTCTCTATCTAGTGGAACAAGCCCTGGGTTCTCTTTGTTTTTCACACTGTTTCTGAGAGATAAGAAGAAACCACCCAGACATGATGCATAACCAGGGAGGTGTTTCTAAATAATATTTTAGAAATGTATTCTAAATTGTGGATTAGAGATGGGAAGAAAGGGGTTGGGAGCTACATATAAATTGAGGTTGTTTTTGTTTTGGGGTTTTTTTTTTTATGGATTCAAAATGAGCATGCAAACACACACACATACAGAGAAAATACGTGTTAGAATAAATACTGAACTGAGAAAAGACTTAGCCAATTTTCAGTTGTAGACACCAAAGCCAAATAGAGAATTTTTGTAATTCAAACAAATATATAAACCTGAATAATCAGTGGTTTTTCACACTACAAAAAGTACTTCTACCATATGGAATCATGATCATTCTTGGGCAGAAAGGACCTAAGTATAGTCAAAGAGCAAGATAAGAGACTAAGTTTAAAAATACTGCTACGAAATTATTTTTAAATTTTATCAAACTGAACTACGAAAACGTGAAGTTATTTTGTCTCATCATATCCTCAAACTAGGTCTGTCTTTTTCTGAAGGCAGTATTTCCATCTTGCTACCACTTTCCTGAAGAAATCTGGGCACTTTGATTTATGCAACATCAAAACAGCAGTATGACATCCTTGAAGACTCAAAATGTGTTTCTTTAAAATAACTATCCTTTAAGATTTTGAAACAAACAAACAAACAAAGAGTTTGAAGGGATAAGACGGGAGCTCTCGGGTTGATGGAGTAAGGTGTCCTACAAAAACGGTCACAGCGCAGTTCTGGCTACCCTGGAAGAACGCGCAGATGCCTTGTCATGATGGAGGGGAAATATTTGGCACAACGTTCCCAGCCTTTTCCTCACTGATGCAGTTTTCCGTCTTCTTCAACTTTCTTCATAATAAGCTCTCCTGATTGTCCTGTGTCCTGCAAGACAATCTATCAGGACTACTACTTTAGAATACTCAAAAAACAACCAACCTTTTTATCTAAAATGTAACGGACCCAGTAGCTACCTGGCACATACATTATTCTGATTGTCCCTTTTCTTGAAGGTTTTATTGATCGAAGGTTTTCTTTATTGATCGAAACTTATTGAGACTTAGAAAATGGACATTACTGAGAGAAGTGGTCTGTAGCCCTACACTGACCACATAAACTCCTTTGAATATGCTTTCTTTGGCATAAAGCTGTGCATGCAGGAACTAGAAATCCAGTGGCAGTGCTTTTTGACGTACCCTCATCTATTTCCTACAAATACAAATATCGAATGAAACCAGGTAGAATCCTAATAAAAGAAAGAGGAAGGAGGGAGGAAACAGTTCTGCTCTTCGTATCCGTTAAACTCCAATCGTTTTGAAGGGATCACTTCTGACTCATGGTAACTTCAGGTGTGTCAGAGTAGAACCGTGCTGCTTAAGGATCGCCATTTTTATAGCCATTTCAATAGCTGCTCGTGGTGGTTGTTTTCAGAAATAGATCATCAAGGCACCACTGGGTGGACTTAAACTGCCGACCTTTCTGTTAGAAGCCAAGCTAAGTTAAGCCTTTGTACCACCCAGAGACTCAAAATGGAACTTATTTGCCGACACATGGCCAAGCATATGAAAATGATGAGCTACCACAGTCCTGGCTCTCAAAAAACGGATAGATAGACATAGCACATCAACTGGCAAGCACTGCACCAGCGAAAACGGGCCTGGTGATTCGGGAAGCATGCCAAATAGCATGTAATCTGCCCCGAGGAAGGGGAGGTGGCAGAAGGCATGCCCAGCCTGAGTAGAATCCTAATAAATGCAATGATGCTTTAGAGTCTTGAGTTCGTTTTAATTTCTCTGCCTTCCCAAGACAGACAGACAGTAAGTAGACTGAATCAACATAGAAGATGACAAGTTATTGCAGTTTAGCCATTACCTCTTAGGCATCATTTTAATGCTCTCATTGCCATGGAGTTGATTCAGACTCACGGAGACCTTATGGGTGAGGGCAGAACGTCCCCGGTGGGTCCCGAGACTGTCACTCTTGACAGGAGCATCAAGCTCCATCTTTCACCAGAAGTGGTTTCAAGATGCTGACCTCTCACTGCACCGCCGGGCACCCGCATTTCCCTGCCAGAAGTTATTTTTGCCTTGGTGCTACTGGACTTGGATTTCATTCAGGGAATACAGGAGGTTACCTTGAGGCTGTCATACAGCAGCTTGTCATTTGAAGTGTGACTCTATAAGCACAGGGCAAATAATTCAAATGGAAGACCCGTTGTCTCGGCCAGACCTGCACCACTTATCCTGAGAGTAACAGCGTAGTTAAACTTGATTGATTAGGAGCACTGTTTGTTCTTTTTCGAGCAATTTCTTTGTCTTGTGACAAGGACTAATGATATACCAGCTGTAAGGTGGTCTTTGCATTTATAAAATGGTCTAGCTATAAAGGTGTGTGTTTTCCATCAAAACAGCACACTTTCTGAAGAGGTTAGATAAGTGTGACAAAAGGAGGAGCAGCGTTTGGTTTGGTTTATTTGATTTTTTTTAAGATCAGCTCAGCTTATCTCCAGAATGCATGATCATGTCGGAAAAAGATTCCAGAGATATGCTGACTTCTTAAGTAAGAACACTCAGCATCCAAGATGGGGCGTAGGGGGTGGAGCTAGCAATAAGCTGTTTTGACTTCTGCTTCTTGATTTCGTTTCTGCTTCTGGATTTCTTTGATCAGGTGCTGACCCCGGCACAGATCAAATCAATTTGTCAGGCAATTCTGGACTCTGGGAAGCAGTATGCCATAAAAAAGAGGAAGCCATTCCCTCTGATGTACTCTTATTACGGAACTGAATACTTGGGTGAGTGAAAATATTGGCCAAGACCTATAGAAGTAAGTGTCTAATGGTAACATTAAATAAAGACCGACTGACTTTAGTTTTAGCATAGTTCATCACTATTCATTTTCCTGGAAATACTGTAAATACTTAAGAAAGAAATATTGGTAGATATAGTTGATGTGGTAGATGGATGCCATCGAGTCGTCTCATAATGGTCCATGGGACAGAGTAGTACTGGCCCCTTGGGTTTTCTAATTGTAATCTTTACCTATGCAGATGGTTAGGTCTTTGGTGGAGTCACTATGTGGATTCAAACCACCAACCTTTTGAATCAGTATAACAAATCACAATTTGATATCTGTTTTCATCTTCTGACAGAAGTGTAGTTTCTTCACTCATGCTGGGAAGCATAGAAACTTTATTTCCAAGCATTTTTAGTCATGCAGAAGTGTCGCTGTTTTAACAGTTATTAACTTTCACTAAAGGCTTACATCCTTTTTCCTAGATTGCGGACTCATTGACCTAAAATTGCTGAAAGATTGTGAACAGTGTTCACACTGATTACAAGGAGTGCCTCTGCACAGCTAATAGGATTCAGCTACAAACATCTAGTGCTTAATATTAACAGATTCACAATCGCTTACTGAATCAAAATGGCTCATTTTAAAATGTGAGGCATATAAAGTGCAAATTAGTGATTCCTTCCTTGAATTCTTCAGTAGATTCCAATTACTCCTGAGAAAAGTTTCCAAGGCCCTCTGATGTGCTCCAAACTCAGGTTCCATTTCTTGCCTGGAATACTTCAGCCCAATGTCCTACACGTATCATGTTTCCATACCTTCTTAACTTTGTGCATGTTCTTCTGGCAAGAATATCCCTTCATTGACCCTGCTACTTTTACCTAGACTTCAAGATTCTGCTCAAATATCAATCATGCTTCTGGAGAAAGAATTTGTCAAACCCTCTGTGGAGAAACCCTCCCTCACTTTTGTCAGGTTTCAGGTTTTCTCCCGAAGCAAAATTAGGCAACATGTCACCCTGGTCACACTTCTATTGGAGTCCTTATCACATCATGCTATAATTAGTATATTACCTGCCTAACTGCCTTAACAAGCTTTGTGCACCTTTAGGTTAGGGAATTTGTCTCATTTATTGTGGCAATTCCTAGAACTTTCCCATTGAACCTGCACACATTGGGGGTGTCCAAATGAATGAACAACTCCAGCAATGAGCTTATAAATTATCAGGACCATAAGCCTTTTCTCAAAACACCAATAAATTCCTGTCTAAGTTTCCTAAGAAGCTAGCTGGTGGCCTTGCACCACCAACCTTCAGGTTAGCAGCTCAAGCTTACTGGCAGTGCTACTAGGGCTCCTGTCATAGATAATAGTAAACATATGTGTGTGGTGAGACAACATAATATTTTCTTTACAAAAACAGGCAATTGGCCTGATTTAGCTGTAGGTTGTAGTTTGCTGGCCCTAGATCTAAAGCAAATGGGTGTTACCATCCCCTGGTGCTGATGGAACCATCCAAGGGGGCTGCAAAAGTAGATACCTATACTTTAACCTGGATTATGGGCTATATATGGTACAAAAGCTTTTTGATGCTAGGGAGCCACTGAGTAATTATTTTAAGCGAGCAATAGGCCAAATAAGTTTGAGAACCTATGATCTCAAGTATACTCCTCAGAAAGCTTCCTTAGGCAATGCGGGTATTATCTTATTATATGTGCTCGCAAGAGAACCCTGGTGGTATAGTGAGCTACACATTGAGGTTCTAAGCAAAAGATCAGTGGTTTGAAGCAACCAATTACTCCACAAAGATTCAAAGTTCAGAAACCCAAAGGAGCACTGTCCTACAGAGTTACTATGAGTTGAAGTTGACCCCATGGCAGTAAATTTGGTTGAATATTCTTGGATATGTGCTTTCAAGGAGCCCAGTGGCAACATGGCCAAGTGTTCAGCTTCTAAATGAAAGGGTGGTGACTCGGCAGGAAAAAACTTTTATTCCTATAAAGATTATATAGCCTAGGAAATACTACAGGTCATTGCTACTCTGTAACATGGGGTTGCTTTGGTGGAAATATATATATTTCCACCTATATATATATATATTGATTTGACAGCACCTGTTGTTCTTCCAAGTAATATTGCCATTGTGCTTTGTATCCTATAATTGTCTTCTCACTAAATCAAACTGATTATCCTCTCAGTTCCATGAGTTAATTCTGGCTTTTTTTGTATTAATATAGGGGCAGCTCATGGTCTATCATCCATTCTCCAGATGCTTCTTTCTTATCATGAACACCTCAAGCCCTCAGATCAGGAGCTGGTGTGGCAGAGTGTGGACTTCCTCATGGAGCAGGAGCAGAACTGCAACTGGCCACCTGAACTCGGCGAGACCATTGAGAGAGAGAATGAGCTGGTCCATTGGTGTCATGGTGCCCCAGGTCTCAAATAGTCTATTATCTAAGAACAGTGCCTTCTAGCTACCTCAGGCAAGGGAGGCTCCTTTTCTGAGACTGGAGAGTATTTCTCATCTTGTGAGATTTTAAAAAGAAATGGTTGAGTGTTTCAAAGCCAAACACATCTCGATATTTAAAGGACCTACAGAAATGATCCTGTATAGCTTGAAATAGATCATCTATGTCTATGTAAGGAGCCCTGGTGTCTTAGAACATTACTTGTTGGTCTGTTAACTGCAAGGTCACCAGTTTGAATACACCAGCCTCTCTGAGGGAAAAATATGAGGCTATCTCCTCCTATGAAGATTTACTGCTTCAGAAATCCCAGGGAGCAGTTCTACTTGTCCTATAGGGTCACTATGCGTCATAATTGACTTGATGACAGTTGGTAATAGCTCTAATGTTAAAGTAGCATGGCCAATAGAAAGAGTTATAAACTGCATATGCACTTTATATTGTTGCGTTAACGTCATTTAAAAAAAGGAAAATGAAACAGATTAAGTTAATTTTAATAATTATATTTTGTGGAGCCCTGGGGTATAGTGGGCTATGTACAGCAAATTGCAGTACACATTGGGCTACTAAACACAAGTCAGCATTTTAAATGCTCTTCAGGAGAAAGATGAGGCTTTCTGCTCCCCTGATTGAGTTGCAGTCTCAGAAACCCACAGGGACAGTTCTATTCTGTCCTACAGGATTGCTGTGAGTCAGAATGGACTCGATGACAGTGAGCGGCTATTTTTGTTGTTTTGTTTGTTTGTTTGTTTGTTTTTTGCAGGGGTGTAGTGCATTACACATTGAACCAGTGATTCAAACCTGCCAGCTGCTCCTCAAGTGAAAGATAAGACTGCTCCCAAAAGACATAGTCTAATAAAGCCTATATAGGGATGCTGTGAGTCAGATTCGTTTTGATTTTTGGTATAGTATATGAGTAGAACTCAACAATCCAGATAGTGTAATTTCTACATACAATGATTTTTTAAAATATTGAGATTTTAAAATATTATTAAAAACTCACATTATAGTTTTTAGGTGATCTATGCAATTTATTGCCTCTTTTACATTTATATCACTTCTCAACTCAAAGTGGTCACATTGCATATTGCCAATCTGGAGACCAATCGATCAAAATGTGGTCCCTGGGCTAGAAGCATGGACAACCCAAGAGCTTGTTAGAAATTCAGAATCTCAGACCCACTGAACCAGAATCTGTAATTTAACAGGAGCACCAGGTAATGTACATGCACATCATATTTTAAGACACTATTGTATAATTCTTTGAATACAAGTCTACATTCCAAAAGCAAACAAACAAAAGAAAAAAAACACAAGTCCAATGCCATGTATCAGATTCCATCTCATAGCAACCCTGTGGGAGAGGGTGGATTGCTCTGCGCCATCTAATAAAGAAGTGTGCTAAAAAGAGAAGTCATCCCCAAGGAACTCTCTGGAATTTAACCTGGAAAAGATGTCAGACCTCATAGTTTCCTTTTAAAAAAATCCAATTACACTGTTCATTAGGCCTTCTAAAAAGGAACAGTTTGAAATAAATTACATTCCAATAAATCAATTCATCATGGCTACTTTGGCAGACGACAGATTTAAAATATCAAATAGCACAAGATCGCTGGATTCTTAGTGGGTTTCTTTTTCAAGGAAAAAGCAGAGCTTCAAAATATATTGACTTTCCTTCCTTCAATTTGGTACCTGATTTATTGTGTATCCTTTCCTTCCTTACCTAATAGCTGTTCTTGATTGCAACTGTAATTTCATTTTTCCTTGAAACCATGTGAGTTGCTGGATAATGTAAGCCTTAGTTCCTTGACCATTATTTTCTCTGCCCACCATGTTTACTTAAGAAAGAGATTTCCAAGGCACCAATGTGTGCGTGTACCAGTGCCAGAGCATTGTGTATTATGTCTGATCTCAATGCTGCTGGTGACAATTTGAGTCCATTTCTTTTTATGTTGACCTTTGTGGAGAAAAATAGCAGTTATTCACCATCCCTAAAATAATATCTCTTCATGTTAGGCTCAACATTCCATTTCCTATCCCCTTTAATCATTGTCAATGATGGTCTCTGGATATCCTCCAAGCACTTCAGGGTCCTTGAATTTTGGAAATGTCCCAAAACCAACACAGAACAATTTTAAAGGACTCAGTGTGCTAATAAAAGCCTAGAACTGAGTGGAAAGATCATCTGCTAAAATGAGTGACTAGGTCAGTTAATTGAGATGATTATCTTCAAGGACAATTATTCCATCCTTTTAATATACCAAATAACAGTGATGTATATGATTCATCACTTTAGGGACTTGATTTATCCTCCTTTGTCATTCATATTTAGTATCTTGATAAGATCAAACAGGGATTCCAAAGCAAAAACCATTTAATCCACATATTCACTGGACTACCAAAAATAAACCAAATCACAGTGAATAATGAGCTAAATGGGGCCACCGTTTCTGCCAACCCTCACATGGCAGAAATAGCATTGGGAGTAATTATAATAAGCCTTATAAGTTCAGGTCAGAAACTATTATGATCTCTTTGAAATCAGCAAGAGCAAATTCTCCAAAAATGTGAAATAGAGATGGCCTAAAATAATGATTTTTGTTTGTTGGAGAAAAATATTTTTGAGAGTAGATTTATGAACTGCACAGATGGCTTAGGGACGCAGACCAATTATGTGAGTAGAAACCTGCTATAGATGATCCACAGGGTGCAACTTCATTTATGATATTTATCCCCCTCCCTGAAAATTTTTACCTATTGACTTTCCTTCAACCCGTCTTTGCTCAAGTTATTCACACAGCGTAGAAGTAGTTCTTAACTCTAAATTCATAACTCTGGGTTCTATAGGTAGCGTCAAAACTAACCAGCTAAGTGACCTTGTGACAACCATTTGCTTCATTTATGCCTTTGCCGCTTCATCTGTGAAATCAGCACTTTGAGATGGAATAATGAAGCTTAATCCTTTGATTACCACAGAGTCTTGCTATTCCTAAGGGATAAGTCCAAAAAACGTTGTAAATACCTACATTTATAAATACCCACTGTGGTATATAGCGTCGCTCATTAAATGCAATGAAGTATAACAAGCAGATGCATGTGATCTCTTCATAGCCTTAATGGTTCTGAAATATAGGACTAAAGTCGATTGCAAAACCATTAAAACAAATGCTGTGGATAAAATAAACTCTAGATAACATTATATTGCCTTATATTACACTAGATTACACCATTGCTGTGATAGCAATGAAAGTGTATTTCCTTTACCCTGGGAGAAACACAGGTATCTGAGTGTGTGTTAATTTGTTTCACAACAGAGCTTGTGTAGGAAGAAAGCCGGTGGTACAGTGGTTAAGCACTCAGCAGCTAACCCAGAGGTTGTCAGGATGAATCCACCAACCATTCCATAGGAGATAGATCTGGTAGTCTACTTCCAGAATGATGCTCAGCCTTGGAAACTTTGTGGGGCAATTCTCTTCTGTCCTACAGAGTCACACAGGGTTGAAATGGACTCAGTTGCAGTGGGTTTGGTTTGGGGGTTTTGTGGAAGAGACTTTAATAGAAAAAACCTAGGACTTGTGGAGTGTTTCGCCGGGCCTTAAGCCTTGCAGTATACATTGTGCCATGCATATCTCAGTGAAACTATAGATCGCAGAATGCACATGTGTGATGAATCTCAGATATGTTATTGAAATCACACCTATTAAGTATGGCTACTGCTAATTTCTGTTATATCCCCTATTTTGAAAGATTTTATTTCTAAGCTATATTTATTAAGTAATAATTCCATTTTTAGTTACATTTGGTAAAGGCATCTATCATTGCCAACTCAAGCTTCTTAATAAGGCTTAATAAGTACCCCCATGACAAAATGAATTGGTTATCATGAAAAACAAAGGACACCCCCCCCCCAAAAAAAAGAGGAAAGGAACCCAGCATTCCCTCCATTTAGGTTAAGCAGCATTAGTGTGAAATCCCTAGCTTGACCTAGGAATCATCAGGATTAGAAGTTTCTCAAAGTTCCTTCCATACACTGTTCTGGGATTCAGGCTGAAGAAAGAATCTTATTTTCTCTGGCTGGAACTATAGGATCAATAACCATTCAGTTGTCTGCGGCTAATGGCTAGGCACAGCAATTACACAATACCATTTATTCTTCCTTCCACATCAGTTATCCCCACCCCATCCGGCTGCGTGGGGGTGAGAAGTGAGGACTTTGGGGCTCAACAGACATTTATGGAGCTCTTGCTTTGTGCCAACACCATGCTATGCTATGACTGCTGTTGTTAGGTGCCATCAAGTTGATTCTGACTCGTAGCAATCCCATGTATAGCAGAAAGAAGCACTGTCTGGTCTTAGGCCCTCCGCGTACTGACTGTTATATTTGAACTCATTCTTGCAGCCATGGTGTCTCTCTTGTTCATTGAGGGTCGTCCTCTATTCCACTGACCCTCTGCTTTACCAGGAACCTGTCTCCACTGATACCAGTGGGTGGTTTACTGTCTTCTAAGGGAGGCAAACATTGAATCATTCGCTTTTCATTAGATATTATGTATGTGTGTAGAAAGTGATGAGAACCCCAAGGAAAAATACTTGATGCTGCCTCAGGTTTGAGGAGGGCTTCATGAGGTAAGTTAGTCAGGCCAAGATGGATGGGAATGCTGTATCTAAGAAGAGTGAACACCACGGGCAGCCAGAAACATGAAAACATGGCAATGGAAAGGCAATGGTTAATGGTTTGGTTTACTGAACTAAGTTAGTCATTGACAGAAATTGGCTAAGGGTTGCATAACATAGCCTCCTGTCTGACTGAGTGCAGGACTTCCAAGAAGGGGACAGCAGGTTGGTTAGCAACCACCTATTACAACACCTGGAAAATGGGGCAACTGGATAATGGCATCTGGACAGGACACAACAGCATCCACTATACCTAGCTACCTCTTCCTTGTCCTTTCACACTCAGGTTAGGTGGTGCCAGTCCCTCGTATACACCTTCCCTATCGCAAAATGTGAGGCTCTCCTATGTGCTCTCATAACACCTCTTTTACCCCTCATGGAGCCTCATGATAGCCCTAGTTCGCCTGCAAATGCCAACGAGGCAGGGACTGTTTCCAACCTTAGAACCTCCTACTGTGCTGTAATGTAGTAAATGCTCAGTTCATACCTAAACAGTCACTAAGTCCTGTGAAATGTTTCTTTCATCAGCCTCTTTTCCATCTTTCTGTCAATAGATTCAACTCATGGCTACTCTTTAGGTCTCTCCCAATCCCTCTGTGAGGTATTTTGGCTGTAATACCAATCACATCTTAAAAATAAACAAACAAAAACAACCAGCCCACGACAAAAATTCTATCACTTCCAGAATAAAGTACAAGGTGCTTAGCTGGGCTTATCAAAACATTCACAATCTTAACCAAACATACCCTCCCATCCCACTAGCCCTTTGGTTAGAATAGCGCACCCCTGACATCAATGTGACTTGTCTTTCCTGGCTCCAAATCTTTTGGAGCTGATCCTAGTGTTTAGAATTCACTACCTGTCTCATCTTGAGTATGGTGTTTTTTATGTGTATGCTGATCCTAGTGTTTAGAATTCACTACCTGTCTCATCTTGAGTATGGTGTTTTTTATATGTCCTATGAAGTCTGAATTTCTAACTGAGGCTTTTTGTATCTCCTTTAGGGCAGAACCTCCTTTGAGCCCTCTAGTATTATTCACAGTATCACTCATTTTATGCCCCAGCAGCATCATGAACTGCATGTCCTATCATGTATCAATCATATGTGCATATTTTTATCTCTCTTTCTAGACAATACCTCCCTGAAAGGCAAGTGTCATTGTTAGCATTTTATGTCACCCTGGGTTAGGACTGGCTACATAATTTGGGAGACCCAGGACTAAATTAAAACACAGGTCTCTTACTGGAAAAAGTATTGAGAATTTCAAGATCACAACAGTAGAGCACTTACTCATTGTGAGCCCCTTGGAGACCAAGGTCCTGTGGGACTGCAAAAATCCCATAGCCATAACCCTACCTTGCCTAGGACTACGCATTCAGCCAATGAACATTTTCAAATGAAATGGGTGTAGCAAATAAGTGAACGTATGGTGGAGTTTCAAAAATTGGAAAACTGGAATTAAAATACAGTGCAAAGTTTTATGAACTTTTCGAAGCCCCAATATATCAATTCAATTATTTTTAAAATTCCTCCTTCAGTTTGTGAGAGATCATTTGTTCCTAAAATTAAAGGAGGAAATTCTATAGAGAAAAAGTGTGGTTTACTGGAAGGCATTCCCTAACGAATGTGGTCTGTTGTTAATTTGTGTGCTAAACACAGGGAATGGTAACGAATAGACTTTAAGCTAATTAAATCTTGACTCTCGTGTAAGTATCAAACGAACACACGTCAATTCTTTCCTTTAAGTCACTAATGAATGAGGCAACTAGAAAGGTGTTATAAGCAGTTCAAAGGCCAACCCATTGAGCACACGGGAATACTCAGCCTTCGGAATGCTGAGGAGTCCCTGGGTGGTGCCAATGACTAAGAACCTGACTACTAAATAAAGGGCTGGGGCTTCACCACGCCTAGCAAGAAAAGGCCCGTTGGTCTACTTCTGCAAAGTCACAGCCTTGAAAACGCTATGGATCAGGTCTACTCAGAAATACCTAGGACTGCCATAATTCAAACTGGACTCCACCTCCGCACCTGGTTAAGGAAAGTGGATATATGCTCGCTAGATAGATGCAAAACTTCTACGGAAGCCAAAGGAAGCCAGTGCAACCTCTTTCCAAAGGAATGTTTGCTCCTAGTTATAAGGATTATTTCCATTACAATCCGTTTTCTATAATTTCTCTCTCTACCTAATTGTAAACTTACCTTCAAAGAGGCGAAAGAACTCAAATGGATGAGCGAGTCAGGATGCCCACCACATTTCAAGTTTTTTCTTTTTGTCAAACATAGGAGTGAGGTTGGCTATGCAGGAGAGGGAGTATTCTTAACGTGAATAAACTCTTCCTTCAATATGAGCCCCTGGAAGTGGTGGGAAACCATGTCTATGAATAGCTACAGCTTTTCTTGTTTCTGTTCCTGATCTTTGTTGGTGGATTTTAAAGGAAAACGTCTTTTCTTGGGACAATCAAGTTGAGAATGACTTCACATTGGGAGTAGGAGTCTTAGGAAGGACATTTGGGAACTTTGTTATTCCTGGCAAGACTCCCAGTTTTGCTCTTAAGAAAAAGTAGATAGTAAGAAGTACTTAAACATCACAAATGCTGAACCTCTGAGGGGGCACGTGCAAGCTGTATCAATATTAAGTCCTTCCAAATGGCCAGATAAGCAAAATACTTACCAGAGTATGCCTTATTAAATATTAACCCATTTGTAAATGATGGATTTTATCAAGTGATGTACTTCAATTAAGATGTTGCTCCTTTTCTCTGGGGGCCAACCCCATGATACAATTAAAACAATGAAAACTAAATCCTATAGGGAAAATACAGGACTCCCTTGTAGAAGATTCTATAGCCGTGTTACTCAGTACGGTCCCTACAAAGGTGCTTGTTAGAAAGGCAGAATCTCAGAGCCCAACTCAGACCTACTAGGTCAGCGTCTGCATTTTCCCAATACCCCATGTGATTGGTGAGTCTTTCGCAGTTTGAGAAGTTCTACTCACAATACTAAGCCCTGAAAGTCACCGCTAATATCTTTGATATTTTCACAGGGATTGCCTATCTCTTTGCCAAAGCTTACCTGGTTTCCAAGAAACCACAGTACCTGGACACGTGTATCCGGTGTGGAGAACTCACATGGCAGAAGGGCCTGCTAAAGAAAGGGCCAGGGATTTGCCATGGTGTGGCTGGCAGTGCCTATGTCTTCCTGCTGCTATACCGGCTCACAGGAAACTCTAAATACATCTACCGAGCTCAAAGGTCAGCTGTTTTTTTTTGTTTGTTTGTTTGTTTTAAGGTATTTTTTTCAAAATTGTAACCTAATTACTTTTATTCAATCAGGAATATATTCGCATTGTTCAAAAAATGTAAACCAGGAATTATATCAATGATTCCCTGTGGGCCTCTAGTTTGCCTGGAGACAATAAGTGTTACCAGTTTCTTGAATAGCCTGCCTGAGATATTTGGTGGTGCAGATACAAACAAATAGTTGTATACAGACTTTTGTCCCACTTTTTTTCTGTATACACCTTGTTATCTTAGAGCTCACCTTAAATTAATACATAAAGGGCTGCTTCGGTCATTTTTAGTGTTGCATCATATTCTACTGTGTAAAGCAAACCAATTCCATATTGAGAAGTGTGTTTGGGTTGTTTCCAATATTTTGTTATCTACAAATGACCATGATGAACAACCTTGTGCATGTGTGTATATATACTGCATATATAGATAATGTGTGTATGTATATATGTTCACATATATAATTGTACACATATACAGGCATCCTAAGAGTATATTTATCATTCCGATTGCTCACTCAGTCATTGCCATTGAGTCTATTCTGTCTCATACCAACCCTGTAACTCAGCAAAGAACTACCTCTTGTGGATTTCCGAGAACAGAAACGTTGTCTTTCTCCCTCAGAGTGGCGGGTGGTTTTGAACTGCTAACTTTGAGATTAGCAGGTCAATGCATAATCACCTCACCAACAGGTACTTTTGATAGACAGGGCCAAATTATCTGTAGTTTATTCCTGGAAATTTGAGAAAACATGGAATATCAGCTGTAGGCCAGACAGCCTTGCTTTTGGTAGAAATCAACCTTCGTTTGTAATTCGGGTAATCCGAACTAGAAGAGCTGTGCTATTGTTGCTGTTGTTGTTGTTGTTGTTGTTGTAAGGTGCCGTGGAGTCTGATCTCACTCATAGCCACCCCATGCACAGCAAAACAACACACCATCCTCACAATCCTTCTTATGATTAAGGAAAAACTATCATTGACTCGAAATAGCTCAATAACACTGGGGAAAGCACTTGAGGGAGGGTTCCTGGATGTACAGTGGCATAAGACTGGAATTCCATTTGAGAGGACTTGAAAGCTATACATATCCAAAGTGATCTTGGTGGCACTTAGGCAAATGAGCCTTTCACACTCACCCATGTGGTCTTTTTTCTGTGCATCTGAGCTGTCATTTGAGGGGGCCAGCTGGGAGGATAGGGGCTAAAGAATAGTCACTGAGCTCTTGTAAACAGCCCCACTGAAGGGTTATACCTGAAAGTTATTGTATTGGTTTTTGACCTTGAACAAGTCATTAACTTGTTCTGCTCTTCAATTTTCTCATCTGTAAAATGTGAAAAATAGTGGCTGCCTTATTGGGTAGTTTAAATGAGTTAATAACTGCAGTGTACATGTTTGCTATTATTCCTAATAAAAGTTTTGAATGAGATTATAGACTTTTTTCTATACATAAATGTATGTCCATATACTCATCTGTATCACATATATATGAAACACATATATATTTTAATAGGCTCCTGCTATATTTTGTGCAGGTTATAATTTTAAGTGAACAATTTGTAGGTGGCATTCTTACATTTGGGTTTGTATAGATTTATTCATGATAGAGATCACCTCATGAATTTCACCAAGCCCGGGTGGTGCTGTTGGGTAAGTGTTGGGCTGCTAAAGTCCAAAGTCCAAACTAAGCCATCGATCCGAGGGAAAGATGAGTCGGCTGTCTGCTTCTGTAAAGATTTGCACTCTCAGAAATCCTATATGGAATCAGTAGGAGTCGGAATCGACTTGATGGCGGTGGGTGTACATATACACTTTTCACTAATACAAACAAAATGTCTCCCCAAATTAAAAAAAAACAATCAGTGAATTTATGAAGAATAATTTTTGGAATTGGCATCATTACATCCATAGGTGTTTCATGGTCTTCAACTAAACTCAAAAACACAAACTCATTGCCATCCAGTAGATTCTAACTCATGATGACTCCATAGCTGTTTTAATTCTTTACCCAAATTTCCTGTTGTAACATGTGTATGAAGGATTTTAACTCTGTCAATATATATTACATTCCAAATAGTTTCCTACTTTGACATTTCTTTTTCACCGTAAAACATAGTCTTTTGTCATGAAAACATTTAAATAGCATTATTTTTATCAATCTTTTCTTTAAGTTTTCTAGATTTGGGTTATGTGTGAAAAGACTTTCCCCACTCTAAGATTGCAAAAAGGATTTGTTTGCATTGACTTATGAATTTAGTTTAAATTTAACTCTTTAATACATTTGGAATTTATTTTTATGATGGCTCCAGTGAGGGTTTTATTTTTTTTAATTAAAATTATTTTTCCAATAACATATACTGATCACTGTCCCCAGTAATTCAAGCTTCTAGTTTTATAATAAATTCAATTTTCATATATGGATGTGGGTTTATTTCTGGACACTCTTCTGTTTCATTTTTCCAGTTCTATATTTTATTATTCATTTATTTATAATTTTTCTTAGTGATTCTCTTTAATTTATTCTTCTGGTCAAACTTTAGAATCAATTTGTCAAATTAAAAAAATCCCTAGGAAATTTAATTAGAATTCCATTGAAGTGTAGGTTGTGTTATTTATAATTAAGAGCTCTGTATCTTAGTGGGCTTACGAATTGGACTGTTAATAGCAAAGATGACAGTTCAAACCCACCAGCTTCTCCAAGGGAGAAAGATGAGACTTTCTGCTCCATTAGTGATCTACAGTCTTTAAAATCCACAAGGATGGCTCTATCATGTGCTATATGAGGGTCAACCCGAATCAAAAACAACAAAAATTCAAGGAAAAGGTTTTTTGTTTTATTTTTAAGTGATACTTAATATATTTAAAATACGGAGTGTTTTCATCAAGAAACATGGTATAAATTTCCATTTATTAAAGTCTAGTATTGGCATTTTGCTAAAATTTTGATCTTAGGAAGAAAGTTTGGATTAGGTGTTTCAGACAATTGGAATGTCGTTGACAGATAGAAGAATGAAAATGTGCACCTAATAGCAGAATATTGTTTGGCCACTGCGTTTAATAAGGAGGTCTTGTAGCATAGTAAGGAGTTCTGGTAGTCTACTGGGTAAGAAGTAGAGCTGCTAACTGAAAGGTCAGCAGTTTGAAACCACCAGCTGTTCTGTGGGAGAATGAGAAGGCTTTCTACTTACATAAAGAGTTGCAGTCTTAAAATCAACAGTGGCAGTTCTAGCCGGCCAGTTGGAATCAACTAGAAGACAATGTGGGTTTTCTTTGTTTTTCTGATGTTACTGTGGGTTAAATGTTGGGCTGTTAACCATAAAGTCAGCACTTCAAACTTATCTGATTTTCTAAAGGAGAAAGGTCTGCTCCATAAAGATTTACAATCTCGGAAACCCCAAGGATCCAGTTATAGAGTGTATTATAGGGTCACTTTGAGTTGGAATCAACTCAAAGGTTTGGTTTTTTGGTACTGCATATTATTGCTTAAGTACTCAAGTTCCCACTTCATTATAATTCAAAAGTTAAAATATGGTATGGCTCAAAGAAAACAAGTTTCCCCAATTTTGGCAGTTTTTGCAACAGTATTGCCAACTGTGTAATAGATGCTTGTACGGGAATATATTCACTGTAAAATAAATTAAAAAATGGTTAAAAAAGTTGAACAATTGAATGATAGAAAAAAATTTCAAGTTGTCAAATATTCGTCTGCAGCTATAAATTCCAACTATTAGAAAAATAAAATTCATTGTTATCATTTAATTATTCAGCTTTCAAACACTTCTTAAATTAATTTTCATAATTAAAATATTTCTGAAAAGCTTGTATTTATATAAATTTTCAAAAGTTTGTTGAAATTATATGTAGGTTTTTTTCTCTCTGTTTTTCTTTCTTCAACCTTTTGCTTTCTTATTGTTTGGACTAGTACATGGCTGGTTTGCCTATTTAGCTGGGATGAACAGTGGAGGAAAGCTCGGAACAGTGGAGGGAAAAGTAACAGGGCCAATGACCCCAGAGGGTTTTGGGAGAAGAAGGAGGCGGGGAGAAGGGTGTGGTGAGTGGATGACACCAGGAGCAGGGGAACAGCTAGTGAATTGAAACCAACATCTAGGAGGGTGCAGAGATCCTGTGGGTAGTAGAGCAACTCCAATCTAACTGAGAGGACGCACTAAGAGGTGGAAGAAGGGGGAAAGTGATGGTGGGGCAGGAGGAGGCAAAAAGAAACAGAGGAAAGCTCTAGGAAGCAAAGCTATAGATAGAGGTATTAACAGAGGTGTGTACTTATGTAAATACATTAATCCATAAAAATAGAAGTATTGGCCTATGTACATATATTTATATAAGCAGACGGGCTTTGGGCCTCAGTTCATACGCTCCTTCAATACAAGAACACTTTGTTGTAACAAAATGACATTTTGTGATGCTCAGCACTCCCTCCCCCTGACCCCATCCCTGACAAAATTGCTGAAGACAAAATGGGTGCATAAGCAGATGTGGTGAAAACAGGGAATGGTGCCCGGCTATTAAAAGATATAGCGTCTGGGGTCTTAAAGGCTTGAAGTTAAACAAGCGGCCATCCAACAGTGAAGCAACAACCCCACATGGAAGAGGCACACCAGCCAGGGTGATCATGAGGTGTCATGAAGATTCATAAAAAACAACAAACAAAAACGCATTGGTGAGAATGAGGGGGGCTGGAGCAGAGACCCCAAACCCATCTGTGAACAATGGAACATCCCCCCACAGAGGGGTTGCAGGGATGAGTCAATCGTGGTGCAGTAGAACATCGATGGGTTATGCAATATACATCTGATCTCTTGAGACCTCCTCACCCCGCACGATCATGACCCCAGTGCTGCTTCCCACTCTGGACTGGAAGGGAGCATGTACATAGGTACAGGCAAGAGATAAAGCTCATGATACAAGGAACCCAGGAACAGGAATGGGAATAGTGATACCAAAAGGGTAAGGGGAAAGGGGTAAGAGGTAGGGAAGAAGTGGGTACTGATCGCAATGAATGCCACATAATCACACACCCCCATCCAGGGGGAAGAACAACAGAAACCAGATGGGAACGGAGACAGCAGTCAGTGTTAGATATGAAAATAACAACAATCTAAAAATCTATCAAGGGGCCGCGAGGGTGGAGAGGGGAGAGAAAAAAAAGAGGAATTGATCCCAAGGACTCAATAGAAAGTAAATGTCTAGAAAAGAATGATGGCAATATATATACACTAATAATTCAGATACAGTTGATGTATGAATTGTAACAAGAGATTGTAAGAGCCCTCAATAAAATGATCTACAAAATGACAGTAGTATTATATTTCTCTTTCGTTTCATGATTTATTCTTTTTTTCTGCCTTATTTTTGTTTTCTACAGTTATTTTCCTTTATTTTGTTATTTTCTATTTTTTGTAAAAACACTTATCTAGACTATCATCCATTTTTTTCATTATCATCATATACTGTGTGTGATTGTGAATAAAACTCATACCTATTAATTTTCCTTTGAGTTCAATTTTGGGTGCATAGCTATATGAAATATTCTTGATATGTTTAATTTTAAAATGTCCTTAATTGCCACTCTGATTTCCAGTTTGATAGAATTTTTTTTGTGAAAGTCAACTTGTCAATTTGATTTTTGCATAGTTGGTTAAATGTTTAACAATCATTTTTACTTTTATATAATCAACATTTTCAAGTCAGAAAGAAGCAATGAAACTGACACTCATCCATTTCCAATATTACTAGAAATTTCTACAAATCATTTAGGAATTCTTGCGAACAAAACATCATAAAATGTTTATTTTAGGTGAAACAATTCAGAATAGCTAGTTTTAAATACAGAAATAGTCAGAAATGACTCGATGACAGGTAGTTTGGAATTTTCATATGTTCAGCCAGAATGCTTCTTAGAGGCAAGGACAGTGAGTTCATCTCACGTACTTCGGACATCTTGTTAAGGGATACCAGTCCCTGGAGAAACACATCATGCTTGGTCAAGTAGAGAGGCAGCAGAAAAGAGAAAATCCTTCAAAGAGATGGATTGACACAGTGGCTGCACCAATGGGCTCAAACAAAAACAATTGTGAGGATGGTGCAGGACTTGGCACTGTTCCATGTTGTTGTGCACAGGGTTGATATTAGTTGGAACCAACTCTATAGCACCTTACAACAAAAACAACATAATTATAAAGTAATAAATAAATTCAACTTTAGGGATGAAAGTTCCAAAGAAGAAAAACATGGAATGATCTGAGTTCCTTTTAAAGTATGGTGGAATGATTTTTCTCTATTTCACAAATATTGCGCTATGATATGTTTATGTGAAAACACAATGACTATATATGGAAGATTTGTTAGCTACTCAGAGTATTGTATATGGTATATTTAACCTTTATCAATAGTAGTCCTATTCAATGAGTAATTTTTCCATTCTATGCGTAGATTAAGAACTTTACCAAAGGTCATAAACCATGAAATTTTCAATGTGTCTAAAGTATCTCATGCATCAAGCCTTTATTTTCTACTACCTAAGGGGTTCTTAATCTTGGGTACATGAACTTGCCTAAAAATAAATACAATTCTTATTTCCATTAAGGCTAAACTAAAATATATATTTTCTTTAAGTAACAGTCCAGCTGTGCTTTTATCATCAATATATATAGTAGATGTTCTCATGTCATATTACTTTTGTTGCAGATATTGTGAAATGTATTCCAATGTTATCACAACATAACAATGTCAGTGGTTATGGGGCCTACTACTGGATGTTACTACTGAATGTTATTAAAGAATTGTAAAGGAAATATATTACAATTGAAGACCTGCAGTTAAGTGTTTGGAGGCAAACTTAAAAGTCACAGATTGAATCTACCAGCTGTTCAACAGGAGAAAGATGTGGCAATTGCCTTTTGCGCCCTCCACCCCTAAACTCAGAAATAAAGTTTACAGCCCTGGAACCTCTAGGGCGGGGCAGGAAGTTTTACTTTTTTATACAGAGTTGTTATACGTTGGAATCCACATGATGGTATTAAAATATTTTGGCAACTGAGGTTTAATATAATCAATTTACTTGGGGATTTTGTGTATATTATTTTATGCACTGGCAACCTTTCTTCTGAAAAGGGACCCAGACTGCCAAATAATCTATTAGCATCAAAAAGTTTAAGACACTCTGAAGCTACACCATGACACGGCCTTCACTCTTCAGACGAATCATTCTACTGCTTAGATTTTAAAATAATGGCATATTTAGGAAAGGAGTTGATTGAAACATTGCAGCAAATAGAAAGGCAGTATGTTTCCTGCTGATTTATTTTAACTGCCGTCAAGTAATTCCAAGAGCTCTAAAAAGATCAAATAAGTAATTACTCTTCGTCATACCCTCTGTGTAGTAGCAATAATCGAAATGTACTGCAGTTTCAGCTTGAGGGTTTTAGCAAGCCATGAGTTCCAGCCTCTGTCTGAACTGGTGGCTGTTTTTTGGTTCTTGATGGGAATGTATAGAGCAAGTCAGTAAAGCGCTGGCGTAGAAGACAGCACACTGACAACTGTAAACAGCTATTAAAAGAAAAGTTACTATAAATAGCCTGAGTGGCATTTGTGGCAAACATAAGGAAAGTTAAAAAAATGTTTTCATTGGGATATATTTTTATGGTTAATAGTTCTGTTTTGTAGCACAGTTAGTATATGATGTCATAATTATAGTATGTCATGTGTTCACGTTATCTTTTTGCTCCCCAAGCCATAATTTCTATAAACCTTGCTCTTTTTTTCAGTCTCTGATACATAGAAATGAAATCTGTCTCAGAAATAACATGCTTATAGAGGAACATCATAGTTT